TGTGGGGGGGGGGTGGGGGGAAGCACACTCATTTTTTCCTAGGTAATCAACTACAAATTCTTGATTCTAGAAGAAATTAAGAGTGATTTTCGTAATGGTTATTCAACATCCGGGATGTAAATGACAATTTTTATTGATCGCCTTGGGCATTTTTGTTTATTTGGAGGAGGAGGATTTTGCTCCCTGTTCATTCTTGGGCAGGGACAAATGCAGCTTCACTGAAGTGAATAGATGTTTTATTATGAGACCTTGAGCCACCCCTCATTCTCCACAAATGGGTGGGAATTTCTAACCTCAAAAGGGTAATTAAGGAAGAAAATTTAAAATACAATTGATTTATTTGATATTTACAGATGAAGTAAATACGCACTGTAAACTTCCATGTCAACAAGGACTGTAGCAGTGAACTCTGACAGCTACCTTCACATTAGAAAGCATTTTTCTTTTACCTTTAAAGGGAAATACTAATTGTAGCAAGGGCGAGTGTGCTAATTCCTTTCAAAAAAAGAGACTATTTAAAATGTGGTCATATTTTAGGGATCTGGCTTTTATTGTTACTATATCCCAGCAGAGTATAGTATATCTGTTAAAAAAAAAGACATGATTTTGTTATCAGTATGAATTTATTATCAGCAACACATCAGTTACGTAAAAATAACCCAGATGAAAATGTAAGACTTGCTACATCTTCATGTCACCTGTATAAACTGAATAAAGCTTAGTGACAATATACACAAATTTGCAGTAGCTGGACGTAAGCATTTGTGTCCATTAAAAAAGAAACACACAGAATTTAAAAAATAAAAATGCATTATGCAATTTACAAAGTAACATTAACAAAAAAAAAGTAAACATTCCTCAGACAGCTGCCTCCTTGTTCTACAAAATAAATATTCAAGTAAATTAAGTTAGGCAAAATAAACTCTTAACTTTGGGTGAGCACAATTTACATAAAGGTAAAAAGACAGATTTCCATTTCCTTCAAGGTATATTTTACAGTGATTTATACACAGATTTTTTTTAAATTGGTCTCTTCAGATTGTAATATTCAAAACCAAACTTTTCTACATTTTGCAGAAGAAAGGGAGCTTCAAAACTGATGTTTTATACCGAATATAAACAAGCTAGTGCAGTTGCCCCACACTTTCAGAAAGGATCTGCTCCAGGACTCAAAGCAGACACAGTGATCTAGAAACCACAGATTTCAGAAGGAAAATACAAACCACCACATCGACAGGGAAATGTCTACTTTGCTATTTTCTGAGTGGTTTATTTGATCACTGGAAACATTACTTTCACAAACTAACAATCTACAGTAGTGGCTGCTTTAGGCACTGGATTTGTAGAAGCACTCTGATTTTTAAAGCAAATAGCTTTTCGTTCTAAACTGAAAATTCTCCTGTTACTTATTTATCTTTCAATGCTTAAGGGCTTAATCACCTTTGCAACTTTCAGCTTTACATACAATTTCAGCCCTCCTTATAGCCTTTTTTCTTGATAACCAGGGAAGCCATTCTGGCTTCAAATTTCTGTGCACTTTGTTTATCAGGAAAAAAAAAGTACTCTAGAATTTAAATGCAGCACTAGTATGATGCAGATGTGCACCAGCAAAATTCACTGACCAGATATTAAATGTAATGCATACTAAAATAATTGCATGGGTTTCAAAGGTGAAACATACTTAAAAAATCCTCCTATGTCTTTCTTCGTTTGTCTCTTTTATATATAGTGAGAAAAAGGAGATGGCATACCTTTAACTTCCAGTTATTAAATTCTTTGATGTAGGAGACAAGTATCTTCAAGGCCAGAACTAGGCAACAGCTCCTGCCAAGACCAGCCAGTATAATAAATAAAGGTGACTCCTGGCCAGTGTGAAAGAAACCCCAATTCCCTCAATATTCTATTGGCCCAATACTATTTGACAACACAGAATCAGACTTTTTAAAGTACACAAGTCCTAAGCTTTATGTCTACACATGATAGTTACCATTATTTAAAACTATGTAATTTTCCCACATTATTTCTTTGTATATCTGATGAAATAGGAATCAACTTGTTTTTTCTTGGTTTTTACTCAAGAACACTGAAGTAATTAAATTCATCAAGGTTTTACTTTTTTTCTTCCTACAGATCTGTGCATAGCGACGTAAGACTGAAGCCCCCAGTCCTGCAATATGTATACGAACGAACCACTGCTGCAGCAGCCAGACATGGCACTTCAGCAACTGCAGATGGATCAACGTATAAAATGAGAAATTAAACTTGTATGAAAGGTTGTCACTATTGTTGTTCTCTGCTCATCGTTCCCATTTAGGAATACTTGTGCAGTGGGAGGAAAATAATTTTCTTGATGCGTAACACCACCCTGGTAACATAAGTCAGCTACGTTAAAGTAGGACCATAATCTCTTGAACAGCTCACAAAATGCACATTGGTTCCAAGAATTATTCTACATGGAACAAAAGCAGGTGCTTGTAAGGACTGATATTGCCCATTTATGTCCACGAGAGCCTGGTCACGGATTTCAGTGGATCTGGGCCAGAGTGTGCAAAGCTACGGTTTTATTCAGTGTGAAAAAATTGGTGCTTCTGGAGTACATAGAGTGAGCGATGAGTAGGCAGAAATGGTTTAGGTTATAAAAAAAGACCTGAGAACCTAATATTGAACTTCATATAACAATTATTTTTGAGAGGTTGCCTGATAAAGTTTTGTATTGCTTAGCAGTGGCACAGTCACTTACACGTTCAGGCTACACACAGAAGCCATTTGATGAGAATAACCCCTCTCTGGTGTTGAATCACATCTGTAACAGGCATGTAGATACAGTGGCAAGTCAATGAGCTTCATGTCGGATGCGTAACACTGAAAAGCCATAAGCATGGAAGAAGTTAAGAGTGAGTTTTATACTGCTAGGATTTTTTTAAAAGTCATGAATATTAAGATGGCACAAGTATTGACCTTATTGATTACTTGCCAGTACACTCAAGAGTTTAGCTGAATAATTAAAAGTGGCTATCCAATTACCTTAAAAAAAGACAAAAGGGCTCTGAGTGTTGCACTGATCGCAACAGTGAAAACGCTCTCACTAGTGGAAGGAAAAAAAAAACGAAACCATTTCATTTTAGTTGAACAATCAGAATAACTTTTTAGACAGTACGTTTGTCACTCAAGATCACAGGGCAACCACTTTCTCTTTTCTCATTTTTTTTTCTAACAAAGTTAACAAATATAAAAACTCTAGTCATAAACAGCCTTCAAAGTACAATTAGAAACCAGCAGGACAATCTATTCCAGCATAGGTAGATGGGGCAAGAAACTAGATGCTTGTATTACTGCCATGATACAGACTAGCAATGGCCGCTGTGACAGGGAAGGGTGTGCACAGTACACGTCGTCAGCCGATTCCATCCAGTCGCAGTCCAAACTGAATGCTACTCCCTTCAGGATTCAAGATCTGTCTACTTGACACTCCTTGCACAAGATACATCCTCGTTGTTTCTGAAAAGAGGCAGTTTCTATGGCAATACTAGTTAAGTGCATATCATGCTGCACTAATATAGTGCAAAAATTTGCCTTACATGTAGCAAAAAGGATGCAGGCAACACTTTGAGTTAGAGAAAGTAGAAACGTATTGTAACATTTACAATGGGTTATTCTTTTTCCAGACAGCAACCGCTAGAAAATACTGAATCTGAGAATGCCTCCTTTCTGGGTGTAGGTATGAGGCCTTTACACCCGGCCTGGAGTGATAACAGGACAGATTTTGGCAAGTGAGTCACTGCCCTCTGCAATGCAGGTTAACACAAGCTACCACCAACTGGCAACCTGCTGGACTTGCTCAGTGGGTTAATCCCAGTTAATATTGTACTAAGCACTAAAATGCTCTTTAACAAGTATATGATCTGATAGAGTAATACATATCGTTCAACTGCGTATATGTGTTATGCTTGAATATAAAGAGTCATAGACAGCTTGGTACAAATTCTTCATACGTACGGATTATACTTGGTTAATGATGCACGGGCTTTAATTAACGTTAATACCATGCCAGCAACAGTGTTCTGGAGACAGAAGTGGTGCTTATCGCTTGTAAGATTGAGGCAAGACCACAAATCCCCAACTGCAATGTCTATTAATGTGATTCTGCCAGACTTCTCAGCGCTGATGGTCTGAAGTAAAGCAATAATACCTTGAATATCCGTAGGCATTATGAAATCCATCCTTCTTTATGTATGGCGCAGTTACAAAAAAGAAAAAAATCAAACCACTTAACGCACCCCACAGAAAATCCCTGTGGCTTTGGATACCTTCTGATTTCAATCCATTAATTTCGACTCCATTTGTCACCATGAGAAGTTATATTTTACATGTCTGCATCTCCATCATAAGCCAAGGTTAAAGGTTTCAGTCGGTTATTCTGCCTTCTCTGGGGCTTCTTTGGCTTTTTGCTGAAAGAGTAAGATAACTGGTAAACAGAATAAGAAACTAGTAACAAAGAAAGATGGATTTGAGTCTTAAATGAAAGATGAGTGTGGTGTTTTGAGATAATGCATTTACTTGATCATTTGTTAAAAGCTCTAAGCCTAAAACCTTCACTTGGATCAGTAATCATCTCTCTATCAGCCCAAAGCAACTTCTAATTTAAAGCTCAGTTGTTCAGAAAGGGGCTATTACGGTGCTGATGTGACAATGAAATCCTCAGCCAGCTCCTGCATGATCAGTCAGTTTTCAGAAGAACCCGGAGAGTCTGTTTTCCCTTACTGAGACAGAAGTGGGATTCTGGGGAAGGTTTACTAAAACTCAAACAAACCCAAACACCCCCCCAAATGCCTACTAATGCAGTACAGCCAAGAGTCTGATGTGTACAACCACACTTCCCTCCCCTTCCACCTGCCCAGTCATTTGGATCAGAAATTCCAAACAGGACCTAAAAAACTTCAGGGAGAGCATTCTCAAAGGTGACTTGTTCTTGCAAAACATCTTTGCTTTCACATTCACTCAGATTATTCAACAAAATGTTATTTCATGCATGAAAAACGGATGAGAAAGTTTTCCGACTCTTTCTGCTTGTGTATCTCTATATCCTGCCAAATATCAAATCTGACTTGCTCGATTACTAAATTTCCTTCTTGATACTTCTCTCCGCTTTTTGTGATACAGATGCAATGGAATTATCTTGGACACAGCACATTCATAATGGAGATAAACTGAGCACAAATAAACTATACACTAAGCTACCCCGTATTTGTAAGAAGTTCTTCTAACCTCAGGAGAGCACCTGTTTATCCATCATCCAGAATATAATCAGAGTCTACTAACCTGATCTTGGATGAAAGGACATGGAAAACTAAACACTAAACGTCGGCAAATGAAAATGCTTGCATTATGGTCTGTGTGGGACTGCTTGTTTGTAAATAATTAAAGAACTCACCAGGCTAGATAGATCATAGAAACAATAAAGATGAGTAAGACAAATGCACCAGCAGCTACACCATAAACCCAGGTCTTGAGCCGCCCATCTAAAAGGAATGAATGTTAGTCAGTAGTGTTTGGGTTAGTCTTGTTGAATTATTAGTTCTGATACAGTATAGAAATACTTTTATAATCCAAAACAAGTGTCTTCAGTAGCAATCACAGCTTAATAAGAGGAAACGCTCCTAAGCAACCGAGCAGTAAGTTCTCTATGCATGTGTGTTCTGCTTTTCAGCCGCAGTCTGGATAATCTAATGGAGCAGAGATGCGGGGCAGGGGCAGCAAGTGGGACCTCCAGAAACCCAGCCCCTGGGCCTGCTGGTAACGGACGGTCCTTCAGTGTGATCACGGGGCAGCTTATCAGCCCGGGACTCATTTATGCTGTTAGCATCGCTTTCCACTCCACCTCTGGTAAATCAGTCTGTGTTATTTTCAATCTTGTTACTATTCACTTTTAGACTTTTAAATACTTTTAGCATGTTCTACCTCATCCATACCTTAACTGCATCTACACAACTCTCACTACTGCAGGAAGTAGTAATTTTTCTATGAAGTAGTAATTTTTCTATTTTCTAATAATAAAATAATTTTATTATTCTATAAAATTTTTCTAATTTTTCTATTTCTAACAGAAATGCAAGTTTCATTGTCATAAAACAACTTCCCCTCACGGAACAAGGAAAAATACAGAAAAAAGACAACCCATGCTCATAAAGAGAACAACTGTCTCCTGTCAATAAGGACTCTGTCTCTGCACAGCCTTTGCAGTTTGTGTTTTGGACATGATGTCCCGGCACGCTGAGGTATGCATTCTACTCTCCTGCTCACCTTTATCCTGGATGCACCCACTTCTCCCAGGAAAAACGATGTGACTTTCTTTGTCTGAGCCCCAGAGGAGTATGTCACAGCCCAAGGTCAGAGCCTGCTGTTTGACTCACTACTTTTCGCTGACTCATTTTGCAGATTTCTAAACAGCTTTTGGAAAACAATTATTTTATAGGAGGTTTGCTAGCCTGGTTGCACTCCTTGACAATGAAAAATCCATAAAAAGCCTGAATTATTTAATTTACAAGTGGCAAAATCTTTATTTCATGAAGTCCTATATGGTTTCAATGTAAGTAAACACAGCTGAAATTTTTCTGACCAAATACCTATCACTTCCTGACACCTCTGTAGAACAAAAATGCATTATCAACACAGTTGATGTTTCTACAACATCGTAATAATAACAAAAATTAGTCAGACTGACTTTGCTAAGAGTCCCAGTAGCAGTCTCTATTGCTGTGCACTTAAGTTCAGGCTTCCTGTTCTCTAGCGATGCAAAGTCTTGCATCGACAGACAACTTGTTCAAGCCTAATCAATATCAAACCACTTTAGCTTCATTATATTAATCGACCTAATGAGATATTATAATGGATAATGACCGATATAACTGAAATAACTGATCCATTAAAGATTAATTGAGCAGTAGAGTTGACCTGACCCATCCAATGATATGGTAATAGGAATGAGGGGAATTCAGACTTCAGGACTGCTAACTGGGTTAGTTTCTTCTATCCTGGGCTTATTTCCATTGCTAAATGCAAGGGGTTTCATCTTGGTTTGGGTTTACTTGTTTTAAAATTGTATTTTCTCCTTGAAAAAAAGGACTGCCGTTTACCTTGTGTATGGATTTATTTATTTCTGTCAAAGCAGGGAACTCATTTGTTAATGAGATCGTTCTTGTTACGCAACTACAGGTAGCTAACTCAGGCTTTCTCAAGTCCCCCTGGATAGATTACTTCTAAGTATACAAGGGAACTGGCATATCAAACTCATCTGCTTTGGCTAATACATCAGCACAGATACCTGAAGAGGATACTTTTAGTAGCTTCCTTTCTGGAACTGCAATATAATTTCTTGAAGATGGCGAAAGAACCATTTTAAACCTAGATTTAGAAACCGTGAGAAAGGAATAATCATGCTAGAGTAAATCAAAACCTTTCCAATAGATACTCCATCCTGGAATTAAAACGATTGAGCATAGTAAATCAAAACCTTTCCAATAGATACTCCATCCTGGAATTAAAACAATCAAGCATAAATCTCATTTGAAGTGCAAAATGTTCACTTCATTCCACACTGGCTCATACCTTCACTGGATACAGTATTACTTTATTGTAGTACTTTAAAGTATTACACTATTGTATACCGTGCTTTTTATCTGAGCTGAGCTGTGATTCCCTCCTGACCTGAATTACTTGAAAACTGGTGAGTTTTCAGGAAATCTCTCAACTTTTCTTTCCTGCAAAATTACCTATTTATTTATTTATTTATTTTAGATTGTGTAGTAAAGAATTATTTGGAGTAAAGACCATTTTATTGCAGGTATGAAATATAGTACCACAGTAAAAATAAATTAAATAATAAGTAAATTCTAGTAGGACTAATGGGATCTATCGTATTTCTAACCTGAATATGATTTAATCTGCTATTAGAAGTATTACTGTAGCTCCCTATTTGCAGCATATTATGGATTATGCATGCAAAGATACTGTTTTCAGTTCTCAGATTAAAAACATTCTAAAAGCTTTAGAAAGAAATTAACACCCTCAGACACAAGTGTGTGAGAATATTTAGTTCTATGTGATTTAAAGGCCACTTAAGGTAACCAATTGCTCTCTTCATATAACAAACATTTTGGACAAGCATCATACCTTTTTCTGTGAAAGTATTTTGTCAATTAAAGTTTTATTTACTCCAATGCTTAACAGCACTAGGAAACACTTACTGAAATCTTATGGCCTTTTTAAAGTATTTTTGATCGGATTACTGTTTTATAAAATATTCCTTTACACTCTTGCACTGAAGTCCTTGCTCAACTCTAAAGAATACGGCCCATCATAAACCCAAACACAGAGTGAGTCTTCCCTATAGAGACTTTGAGCATGTTCATGCTAAATACCAATATTATGGTTAGCTCTTGTCTAACATGATTTAGTTTAAATATGGATATTACAGAAAACCATTAACGTATCTATACTGATTATTTTCCTACTATTTATGCTACAGCTGTGAATTTTAAGCAGCCCTTACCCTTTGCAGGCTTCAGTGCTACCTTTTCACTCCTCTGTCACTACTACCTCCAGTGTCTCCAGCGTTACTGGTTGAGAGAGCGTAATGTAATACCCTGGCTTGCACCTTTGCAGCCAACTCTCTTTTAAAGTCACCTTTCAAGTAGCTTCTGTGAATTTTAACAGGTGGAAGGGATTCAGATCTGCAGTAGCAGATTTCATTACATATACTGATGGAGTAGATGTGAAGGCGAAGGGTTTGCTTATGTCTCTTCCTTCCTCTTCAGTCAGGGCAGATGCCGGTCTTCTTAAACAAACACAGGTTTTTTTGCTCGGCATCTCAAAAACGCAAATGCCAGACCCTGCAGCAGTACTTAGCGTTAAGAACTGCTCTTTGCATGACTTCACCTGGCCCAAAAGGCTGTAGAAACCAGGTCCTTCCTCGTCCTGACTGGTTACTGGAGGGCTGGGTAGGGTTCACAGCTCGGCTGGTTTTCACATCTCCCTTTTTGTCCTCCATGGTGGGGATCACCACCACTGGGATGAGAGTGCACTGTTGGAGCGTGCCATCCGAGGACATAACTTCAGTGTAGCCATCTTCACAAGTGCACATTCTAGTCTGTAGGGAACAAGTGTTTTACACTGTGTAGCAGAAAAGCACAGTCTTCTGTGAGCTATGAAGCATAACAATATGGATGACTGGAAGAGAAGACTCTTTTGATGAGTGCTATCCTGCAGAGGACCTCTTCATATATTTTTATGCAGGTTTGTACCGTATCAAGAGAGATTATTCAACATTTAATTGAAAGGTAGACAATGGTCTGAATTTATTTTTAACAAATTAATACTAGCAAAATTCCTGATTTTTTTTTTTTTTTTGGCATAATCTTTGTAATGCAGAGAGATGTGCGGGAAGCCCTTTCGGGGGTGTTTGAGGCTCCAATGCAGTAGCACATACCTCACTGCAGTACGCGTGGGGTTGACTGCACGGTGGGTTACATGACCTGTCAGCATCTGGTTGGCGCATCACTAAACAGCCCCCTGTAGGACAGAAAATCATATTTTGAGATGGTAATACCTCACCACTGATGAAATTACTGATGTCATTACTTGCTACAGTATGTCATGGATTACAATCTTATTGCTAATTTGAATTTAAGAGTCATTCTCTTATTCCAAGGTGGAGGATAATCAAGTATTAAAGATGGAGTAAGGATACAGCATGTGTGTTTGCATTCATGTGCATCTTAGAGAACTAATGTTTGCCAAGTGAAGTTTTTGGTTTTCCCTTGGTTCCCTCAGTGGATTTCTCAAAAAACAGTTTGAAAGTTTGGTCTGCTTGAGGGAACATATTTTGGTTCTCTAGGGACCTCCTTTTGGCTTACGTATCAAAACTGTGGCCACAAAGAAAAGAAAAGCATATTTTTGATTTATGTCTTCGCCTGATAAACTGAAAATAAACTACGCATCCAGTTTAGAAATGGACACCTGTTGTCTGTCTGAGTGGGTTTCATCTTTTCCCTTTTTTTTTTTACAGTCCTGGTTATCATTTCTAGAGCTTTACGTACAGTGCAGTTATTGTTATGGACCAATACACAATCAGGATTTCACTATCATTTCAGCCAGAGTGACTTCAAAATATATTTAGATTCCATTTTAATTTATCTAGGCTTCCTTTTACCTTACAGAAAAGGTCTATGCATCACAGTTCAAAACACATACTGCTACAGGACCACTTACCTTGCACCTCCCAAATTAATAACACTTTTTATACTGGTGTGATCTGATGATGAAATCCTGACAGCTGAGGTTGGTCACAACCGTAGCAGATGCAGTTAGATGTGGTTATGCAGATCCAAGTGTTAACAGGATGGCCAATGAAGAGCAAAGAAAACCCTGCTGGTTGCCATAAGTTTTCCCCACCCCCAGAAAGGAAAATTGTACATCCTAGCATACAAATCACATGCCTGTGGGAATCTATGTAATAAAATATCAGTCATCCAAGGAAGCTGCAGAAGGAAAGAGTTGCCTCATCGCCCACGGGAAACAATACCTTTAAGTAAAAAACAACTATTCAGCATAATAATATTATGCAAGTAAATAAATAAAGGACTTAAAATACCAACACGACTCATGATGAAACTTTGATAATGTCAGATTTAAAATATGTTAGATCCAAATGTGCAGCAGTCAGGCAGCGAAGACATGCATTAATCAGAGATACGGGTTGATTCTAGATCAAATTAGGTAATCTCCATTCCAATCAGTTGTGTATGTGCATCTATAAGTTTGACCTCTTAAGTACTGTACTTTATGGAAAGCACTTTCAAAAAAAGCGTTCAGATGTAAATCACAATCTGTTTCACAACTGTACACTCCCTGAAGAGAAGTTCTTGCAGAACATTAATCTTAAGTGCTTTGTTTGAAAACTATCAGGAACACTAAAAAAATTTTTTTGCATTGCACAGACACTGGTGATTTCATTGTCTAGAATTTTCCATCAGTCCTCAATTCAAATCAGAAAGTTACCAAAGCTTTAAAACCACATACAAACAAACTTTGAAAAACAGTTACAATATAGTTCTGAGGTTGGTCTGCCTATGAGGTTCTGTCACGAAAAATCTGCCAACACCACATATTCATACACTTGTCTTTCCTGGAATTTATCACATGGCTGCATTCAGTCACATCAGAACAAACTGTTACTTTTATGTCACTGACTGATTTATGAATATATTCTGATTTTAACATCTCGGAGCCATAACCGCCAAGACACTATTTATTTCAAAATGCTGTAGGACCTTTAATAGATTATATCATATCTTAATAAGAATTCTTAGAGTTTTATTTACCGTACAAATTACCTTCCTTGCGTTTAGCTAGACAGGAAGCAATCAAGGTGCATAAATAATGCCCTGTTGTATTCATGGTGAAAATGATGTATTTTCAGCTTCTTACAGCACTTGCAAATGAGACTTTGGGGTACCACATGTTATTTCAAAACCTTGTAAAAATAATGCAGATCTTTTATTTCTACCGTTAAAACAGACAGTAGCGCTGGATTCCATCATCAGGAAGTACTCTATTGGCAGTCCATCAGTTAGAGCTCCCCTCCTTTGACTGACCTGACAGTGGCTGGCATTGAGGATGTGCTTACCATCTCTGGGATTTTTTACTGTCACCTGGGCTGATATAAAAATTATTTAAACAACAAATGCATAAACTCCTATAAATAGATATACATGAAGATTTTATTGAGTTGAGAGACCTCAGTCATTCTTAAGTCATGGTGCTTTGTGCTTTGGGTTGCACAAAAGGTCCACTGAAGTATCCTGCTGTAAGTTTATGTAATTGAGGTAGAGAAATAAGCTTGTATTAGCACATTTATTAAAAATTGTTATTTGTAATTTGAAGGATAGATGCGATATATACATGATATTATCAAGCTTTGCATCTCTCTGCCTCTGAATAGGCCCTGAAATGGACTTCAAGACATAAAGGTTCTATTTTTTGGTATGGCTTGAAATCTGAAACTCTAAATTTAGAAGTCTAAAGATGTCTATGGTTAAAAAAACCCATACAATATAAAACATTCCAAGTCCAGTACAGAAGACAGTTATGTCTACTTTTAACATTAAATGCTGTGTAATTCTGGAAAAGAAACGACATCTCTAGTAGGCAAAACCACGATGATTGAAGACAACGTCATTTTGGTTCATGATTCATTACATCAGGAACAAGTGTTTGTGTCAGATTCTTTAAAAAAATTCCATGTGTTGGGAAAAGACATTATCCACCTGTTTTCCAGGTTTTTGTGTGTATATAAAAAGAGTAGTTACCTGTGACATTTAAGCCATCCGACCTTTGGCACCAGACAGTTCGAGAAGACCCCTTCCATGGGCTAGCCATCCACTTGTATTCATAGCACTGGCCATCTACACAGAGAACATTCACTTTTCAAGAAATTTGATGACAAGGTTTTAGGCTGCCACTGACAGCAGACACACTCATCGCTAGACCATTCTCAAGATGTTTAACAGCTTTTACGGCCAGGTAGCCCCCTTCCTCCTTCACTCAGCAGCTTAGAAGGGTACACTGCACACATGGAGGCCCCAAGGTCTGCTGCACTTAGTGGCGAGACACTGAATAGACCAGATGTGTCCCGGACCCTGACTATAGTGGTTGCACACACTGCTCGTGGAGTGAGCCTAATGTAGTTAATGGGCAAAACACACGTTTCCAATAACCTCATAATGGTTGTGCCCCTCTGTTCACCAAAACTCATTTAGGAGTCAGGTTCCTTTCCTGGTAACAAGTCAATGCTGCAGTGCTTGGTGAAATGGCCTGGGCTGCACCTGGCTTAACCTCTCAGCTCTGCTGTGCACGTCTCATATGGCCTGGGATACCTCGTGAAGTCCTTCTGCACCTTAGCTCCCTTATAAATATAAAATTCCCTTTTGCTGGATCTGTTTGGCTGCTGAATGGACAAGAAATGCCTGTACAGGACATGACTTTTCTTAGGTACTTTGCCTAGTACCAGCAGTAAGCATGACTGAGCCTTTTTAATGTCACTGTCATGCGATTAACAACAATTCAAAGGAGACAGAGCCGTCTCCTTTGAGACTGCTCATAGCAGACATTTGGCTATGTATCAAAACTTAAAGATTTCTTTTTATTAATGTAATCAAGCACATAAGGCAACTATTTTTTCCCATATGATAAAAATAATTTTTATTATTAAAAAGGATCAATTCTCGAAAGATTGTGTTTAAAGTGGTAACGCCTGATAGTTAGCATTTGAAAGTATTCCTGTTTACAGCTGAAATCTGGAAAACAAAAATCTAAGTGCATGCCTGTGTCTATGAAATCTGTATTTGCCTAAATTTGATACCATGAACAGAAAGAAAACTATTGTTCTGTATTTTTTTCCTACAAGAAGTGGCCTTATGTGTATTCCGGGGCTTACCATTGCATGGTCTTGTTTCCAAAGCCTGTTCTGGACAGAGATGTTGATTCTCTAGTTCCTGAATGATCACTGCCCGAGATCGGACTTGTATCCCTCCAAAGCCAAGATCCTCACCATTAACACAGGTAAGCTGACAAAGGCTCCATTCTGACCACTCTCTCAAGTAACAGTCCCCTGTCAAATAGCAATTTTGTAAGATGAACGATCATCATGCATAGGAGTTGTTTTGCACTATGTCTTAGAAAAAGATGGCCAAATCCGTTTTCTTAATTTTCCCTCTTTATAGTTCTTTTCATTTCCCTTTTTAAATGTGACATGCTTCAGAGAAGAGAGTATCTTCACACTCTCTGAATATCTGCATAGTAGAAAATAGTAATAGAAAGATTATGCAAAGGCTTGTTTCTTCTAACGCAGGTTAGTTTCCTGTAGCATTCCCATAAAATCACTCTCATTTTGAATTTCTGAGTAACATTCCACCCAAAGTCTGGAGTTTTGTAAATTCTAGGGTACCGTGCACGGTATCCCATATGATGAATTTATATAGCTTGTTCACATTTCTTCTTTAACCTTACAAAGAGAAAATACGCTCTAGTTTTACAAAGATTAATTGTTGATTTTCCTCCTGCAGAATTTCTCCGAACAGACAGTAGAAGCAACTGCTGGAACATTCTTTGCAAGAAAGGGAAATGGGAAGGTGTTTAAAATGCCTGCTCTGGCTATTTCATGTTAGGATAATACAGATTTGTAGAACTTTATCTTACAGAGCAAAACTGAAAAATAAGATTCCACTAATGACACTAATTAGCATGACTGGATAAAGAATATTTGAGGAAGATCTCAGGCACAACACAGAGACCATTTTCTTAAAACTGCAATAGAAAATGGGACTAGATTGTGCACAGACTCATAAATAAACCTCTTATTTCTCATTATTTCAGTGAAAGAGCTATTAAAAATTCATGCTACCTTGCATTATACTGATGACAGATATAATCAGTACTGTGTTGACCAGATGCTTGATTAATGAAGGAATTTTATTTGCCAACGTTAGGAAAGCATGCAAAAAAATGAATAATTGAAGAACCGATGTATACATAATAGGAAAACAACTAGTGATTTTTGGAAACATTATTTGGAGCGTATCATTCGCACATCCCCACAGGGCAGTTATTATGGCTGGCTAGATTTGAGATTGTTGAAGAACAGGTTCCTGCTCAGCAAATTTTAAAAGCGAGCAATAATAAGCTACAGCTTTTTTAATAAATTTGACAAACAAGAAAACACAACTACATTGTTTTAATTCCAATTTTCATTTAATAAGCAAAAATATTTAAAAACGCAATTGGAATACTGTGCACAAAACAGTGATGGAAGCCACTCTGGTTTTGATTATTTTCTATTACTTAGGCAACTACTTTCAGTCCAATCTGAAATGGACTGGAAAAAAATTCTGAGAAAGAGAAGAGTTGTAAAAGAACAAAGTCTGGTATGAACTGACAGCTACATCAGAACTGAAGGAGTTAATCATTAGTTCTGAATATACATCATTAATGACTCTATTGACGAACAGTAATATACTTCAAATTCTAAAAGTAAGTGTTTGAAATGAACTGGAGGGGTTTTATTGTAAATTAAACAGATGTTACAGACTCTTAATCCTTCTCAGTTTGAGGGTCATGGACCTTATTATTTGTAACACTGACTTTGGATTCAGTCTACAAGGTAAATGACAGTGCATGTCACGTCCAGCGTGTTACACAGCTAGAAACACATTTTCTCAGAGATCAAAATATCAGTTTCATTTGCAACAGCCTTTTTAAACAAAAAAATAAAGACTCCTAGCTTACCTTCCTTAGAGACCTGTAAAAGGCATCAAGTTCTTAGACTCTATGAAAAGTATTAATGAAGCTGTTAGCTTTATTAAATGCTCTAAGCACTTAAAGCAAATATTTACTGGAAATGAACATTCTTTGTTGTAGAGGTAAACAAAGATTTTATTTCAAAAGATTTTGTGGGAAAAAAAATATTCTTATTAGGTACAATCTGTGACTGAGACATGTATTTATAAAAGATAAACCTGGTACTTTTAATTTATTGCCACTACTAGAAAGTAACTGTTGGTCATTTGATGGATTAATCCAATCAGTAAAGCATTTGAAAAAGATTTAATTGCCTGTGGCTAATGCTAGGCACTGATAACTGTAATGAAACCTACCTAATATTGAAATGCAAGATTTAATTGAATAGCTTTTTACCTGGACAAGGGACAGTGCAGGTTTCCTCAAGTATCATCTTGTTACTACCATCTATAATAGGCTCTATTTCTCCACAGAATTCCTCATCTACTACTTTGCCAGCATCTTCAATGGATCCATCAAAAACCACACAGGAAATGTTCCTCACTCGTGTTCCCTCTCCACATTGAGCATCCTGGGGAAAGAGGACATATATGGTTGTGGAGAGAGAAAAGTGCCACAAGACTAGATCTGAGCTACATGTCACTATCTCCTCTTATATTTCATCTAACTACTTACTCTTCCCAGCAGGGAGGTGGAGTGTGTGGGAACAGACCTTGTTCTTTACTTTTGAAACAAACAATTCTGCTGGGTGCTACCACTGTTTCTTAAAGTATGGAGCTAACTATGCATTTGAATTTCAACCATAGCAGTATTTCAAGTGGAGATCTCTTCTAGAGTGCCAATCTATTTCCACAGATATTCTTCTACTATAGGATTTCAATTATCAAAGATGATGCATGGGTACCAAAGTTTACATTTATACTTTCAATATCTGTAGAATGTTGTTCTAACTGTTGACAAATGTGAGTTCTAAGAATTGTTGAAAGTGTTATGGAGCAGATATCTGAGCATATCACAAATATGCCTACATATACAATCTTCATAAATTCAAAGTCTCTCATGGCTTTTACCTCTACTTCGCATGCAGACCATTGGCCATATTGCCATCGATAACAAGGTTTTACTGGACAAGGTTTGAATTGCTCCATCTGAGAAGGACAAGGCCTCCCATCACCCTGAAATGGCTGATTTATGGTCCTTCTTCTGATCATTTTTCCTGTAAATAAGAAACATTAAATTAACTAACAACAAAATGGTTAAATTGATTTACTTCTCAAGCCGGTTCTATTTTGGTGAAAAGCTTTGTATTTGAATAAAGTAATTTTTTCCATATTTGAAAAATTGGATTGTAAAGTAGATCTGTTGGCTCTTGTCTGTTACATGGATTTATATATTCCAAGTCAGACACTTTATAGTCTATCATCTGGTTGTACTGCAAGAAGTGAAGGAGGATGTCTGATTCGGAATTCAGATTGCTCCTGTAACAGCAAACAAAAGTAGTAATTTCCTAGTTCAGAAGCCTGGGGAAAAATACCCTTTCTGAACATAACAGTATGTTTGTGACACTTCAGTGGAGATTCTGCTTCCTCATTCGAGTTTGCTGCTAGAAAAAAACAACATGTTCTGTTCCTCCCTGAGTTAATACAGAATCCTGTGTTCCATGATAGATTCCAGCAACCAGGAACAGCTTTCAACTTTCCCTCATTGTCTGTCTGCATACCATGACATGCAGATTTTGCATGAGATGGCCCAAAAGATAATTAAAATACACTAGGCTTATGCAACATTAATCTTCTCTTCAACCACGACTAGCACACCACCCAGTATCACTGAGAAATAGGTTCTATTTCAAATAATTATATACACAGCAAGAGGAAGACATTTTCATCCTTTCAGCAACTCTTGCTTCTTTCATTTTGCTGTGTACATTAGACGATTATGCTTCATACAGAGATGTCATGTGATATAACAAAAAATTTTTTTGTGTGCCAGAAGTAGTGGTAAGGTGTCTGTGCTAGAGTTGGCACTTTGCAAAGGTTTCCATGAAACCAACACAGATGTGGTATTTCAATCATTATACAGATAAATATGGGAACCAAGTCTGAAATAAGATGTATATATAAATTTTGTATATTGAGGCTTATAATAAACTGAAACTTTACATAAATCTACATAACACCCAGTGTTAGCTGGCCAAACCAATCAATCTTTAAAGCACATTTCAATCCGATGCATTTGGAATCAAACACCCTCATGATCATGACACAAATCTTTTGCTAAGAGCAAGCTACACAATCCACGATGCAGCAGCAGCAGAACTCTATCAATCTCCTAGACAGCTGCAGCTAGCTCAGAAGATGTTTGCCAGGTGGAGCCTCATTATTCTTGGATTCACAGCTGCTCCAACTCAGATGTCACAGGAGAAAAAAAATTTTCTTGAAAAGTACTAGAGAAAAAAACCAGAAGAACTGAAACGAGCAGAATTCTTACATACAGAGTTCTTCCTCAACTTTATGGGTATTTGCATATGTGCACAAGAACAATTCAGCTTTATGATCACTGGGTTTAATAGATGGTTATTATTTATTGAAAAAGAGCAGTTATTTCCAAGTTCCTGCCTAATAGGAAAACTACAGCTTCAAGGCTTACTTGTGACGTTGCTGTCATTTGTTTAAAACACTGACATTTTGAAAGCTGTTTTACATTACTATTAAAATAAATTTTCTCAATTCTACAAAGAAATTCTATACTTGGAAAGCACAGGGTTTTCAGATAGTAACCCACCCTCACATTTTGAAAGAGCATAGCAACCATAATTCTAATTCAGAAAAATATCAGGTCGATTCTTCAGGTCTTGTCTATGAACAAAGTTTGTAAAGCAAAATTTGGCAACACATTTAAGCCTTTAATAGAGCTGTTAGTTCAATCCTCACTCTATAAATATGATTTTGAATGCAGTAATGTAGATTATATGAATGTAGAAGTCATGCTTTGAGAGAAGGTCAAAGAACCAAAACCTTATTACATTATTAGATACTGCAGTATCAAATTATTTATTGTCATAATTAAAAAATGATCCCATCTCTACTGGGATACTGAGGTGGCTAGAGTGTTCAGATGCTTTTGCTTAGACCTTTTCCCTATGGTGCAATCCCCAAGGAACACAAAAAGATGCAATATCCTTTTACACTGAGCCCAGCAATTGAAATTGGAATCCATACACCACTAACCAATCAGTATCTGTCATGACATATTTCAGACATGATTACAGATCAAAGAGGTTCATAGATGGGCTTCTACCCTTCTCTTTCCGTAGTCTGTATACATGAGATATTCTGAGATATACCAGTGCAAATAAGTAACAAGAGTTCCTCCTTAACTAAAACTGAGGATATCCGTTTGATATCCATTCTCTGACATAGATTTGATTAAAAAAAAAAAAAACTTAGATGGTGGTTAGCAACATTTTTGAAGAAACATTAATGTGATCACAGTGAAGGTAACTTTTCCCCATGTCTTTGTTCTATGTTTAAAAATATGGAATTCTCTGGTGACTAAATTTGTTGGTTTTAATCACTGTGCTCTTCTGTAAGTTTAGTTGTTCTAAACTCACCACTAATAAAACTTAAAAGGCAATCCCTCTCTCCTCTTCCTTCCCTCACTGGATGAAAAATAAATATTCACATCATTATTTATTTTCGTCTCAATATATCATTTGTCATATCTTACAGAAATATCAGAAACTATTTTGGGCCAAATTCTCATTATTTTCAGTGAGTACAGTCTCACTGAAGTATATTATTTCCACAAATAAGGCTGATTTATGTCTCCCTAGCCAGCTACATTTTCTAGTTCTGCAAAAAGAGATATTGCTTTTATCCATGAAAAAACCCCCTCAGTCTTTAAAATATGCCAAAGGTATATACTGACCTGTAAGGCCACATGTTTGAGAGCACTCAGACCAAGGGGACCAGTCAGAGAGCTGACAGTTCACAGGACATTCCACCACACAGGACGTATTCATTTGCCATGTCTTCTCCAAACCAAGCTAAAAGAAAATATTCAATGCTCAGCACATAGCACCCAGTCTGTATCACAGATGCAGGGTACGCATTTAGACATGCTGGATCTGAGACAACCTAGAAACTTTAAACAAGCATGAAGTCACTACTAAACAAAAAGTAAGTCAATTAGGATGTTTTAAAATCTCACTTCAACACAGTCCTAATGCATATGCTGATTTTTAAATACAAGCTTAAGTCCTATTTTCATAAATTATTTTCTAAATTAGAGCCTATAAATAGAGGGCGTCCACTCTACAGTATTTCTTTATACAATGGGTAAAGGACAAAGGAACTTACGAAATATCAATAAAGTATTCTGAAATAGGAATATAAAAATAAAGAACTATCAACAGCTGAATTCAAGTGATGCTAGGAGCCAGGTTCAAAACTAACAAAAGTAGAGTATTGTATTGAATAGTCAATTTATCTGTCAAAAAATGTTGCAGATTCCAAAATTTTACAGGAGCTTAGGAGAGACTGAACAAATAAATAGAAGAGAAATCTGAACATTTAAACACACAGGAAACACATCAGGCAAGTGCAGCCCAAGAGCTGTAAACAGGTGGAGGCTGTGAGAGTAGATGGAAACTCATCTATGTCTGTCCTCCTTCCTCTTCCTTAGTCTTCTGCTTATGCCTCTCTTGTGTTTTTCCGAACATGGTGTGTAAGTTTATTATATATATTATGCTATCCATTCTACTGTGTGCAAAAACATTGGTTTGACAATTATTTGTTCTAAAAAAAAGCAGCTTTGCATGTTTTTCTGAAAAGCTTTGTAAAGCCCAGAGTCCTCTAGCATCCCTAAAGTAAAAGCTGCAAATGCTGCAAGTGTATGAGAGAAGGGGACACTCACATGTTTTCCCAAAAATGTATTCTGTACTGAGCTCGTCTCCAGGCAGGAGTCAGCCTAACAGTAACAAAAGATGGAACCGCAATAGAAAACTAAGAGTTTTATGGCCATGCTTGGAGATGGCACAGTGGCTACATGGTCCTTTGGTCTGATCCTGACAACCTATTTCTATGTTATTATAAACTCTCATGCTCCAGGTTTTCCCCATCTAAGGAAGAAAGGAGATATTCTCACTAACACATGAGAATACATGATGCCAGATGGACTACAGCTGATGGCAAAAATATTAGCATGACAATAATAATCCCTGCAGCTTGCACAGCTTCAGAATGAGTTAAAAGGATAGGTCGATTACAGTGTGTATGATGTAAATGTGAAAGAATATCAATCCTGACAGTATGACCAGATCTGCAGCTTCCCAGCGTAAAAGACTCCTCTGCACTGGCCCTCACCAGTGGACCTTGATTATCATTGAGACCTTTCAGAATCCCAGGAGGTTGTGGATATCTTTAAGCAGCTAAAATCTCCTCATAGTTAAAAAAAAAGGCAAACTAGACATTTCAAAATCTATTAATTTTAATGATTGGAAAGGTTAATGACATAAAATCAGCGGCTAAGACTTTAAAAAGGAAATAAAAAAACCAGATTTCCTACTAAACGCAAGCATAGAGCAATAATTAGGCACAACATTAACATACCCTCCATAAATAAACTACCACAAGTACTGGAAATGTCTTGCCTTGATAGACTCACGAAGTCTTAAATTTGTACTTGCAATACCACTTACTGAGACAAATTTTCTGTTCAGTTTTATACATCAAAGATGGAGTATTTGGCTTTTCTCTGTAGTACCTTATAACCTTGATTATCCAGCTATCACACAGAGGCAACACCTGAAACCTTCAGATAATCTGGAATTTGCATGATTAGTAAACTAGAGAACCATGTTTTAAGTCCATATTTGGGTAAAATCTTCTGAGCAAAGGCTTTAAAGGCTGCTGAATTGATTCCTAACAATTATAAAGATGTAACTGCTCTCTTTCAAGACTGGCCTTCTCAGCTGGACTTTGTCAGCTAGAGAAGAAAAAGCCCAAGAGGGATTAAAAGGTGAAGAGGAGAAACCTGAAGGCCACATTACCCACAGTGATCTGCCATTTGCATGTCTTAGATACTGAAGTCCTTCTGAAGTAGTTTTGGGGAACAATTGGCAGGCTGCAATTTGATATTAATCACATTCTCACCCTTCTCCTTCCTTCAACTGATGAACAAGAATTCATCTTTAAGACTTTAGGAAATATTTGGAATAGTGTTCAGTAGCTCCCTGACCTAAAAGAGCCTCTGTTTTGGGTGAGTTGTGGTTTCTGATCTGAGAATGGCAAGTTCTGGAGGAGTTACACTGAAAGCTTCTACTGAGCGCCCTGTACTCCTGGCTGCACATGCCAGGGGATGCAGGCTGCCAGACCAGCATGCTCTATAAACCCTGTGGTCTGCAAAAAGTATTTGTATGTGTTTATAGGAATGTTTAGCACTGCAGATTAACCTCTGCTGGAGGTTAATCATATAATCTGACAAGCAGACTATTTGCCAATAAAACAGAAAACTTTGCTTTCTAATGCAGACAAAACTGCTGGTTTCTAGGCTTTTCTGATCTTTAATTGAAGGTAAATGGATAAAAATAACCCATAAATATGAATATGACCAGGACCAGCTTGCTTTAGGTAATTTGATTTTCAAATATTCGAGGAAAAGACGAGCTGAGTTCTTGTTATATGCTAATTTTGTAGAGTTAGATACCAAGTAATCTCATGCCTTGAGAGTTTGAAGGGAACTATGTTAACATAAGGAGGACTTGGAAATAAGCTCTAGAAATTGATTTATCCTGGCAGTAATCAGGATAACTGGCTAGCTTCTTTAGCTGATTGACTGCAACAAACACAAAATCATATGGATGCATTAGGAAACCAGAACACAGGGGCTTGGAAGAAATCATATTTTACTACATTGATGTTCATACCTGGATATGGTGATAGTCAAAAGACAGCGCAAAGAGGTTTTCTTATATATGGCTTTTATTAATTTCTTGAACTACCTATTACATATAGGAATTCAGACAGTGCAATCAGATTACTTACTTTCTTAGGGATTGGGACAAGTTTAACTATTCTGATCTCTCTTCTTTGTGTATACTAATGAGAATCATAATTCTGTAAATGTATCTACACATAAATTAAACAAATCTTTTGCTTTATTCATACCTCTAGTATAAATTTTTATGATAGCCCAGGGTAAATTCGATTAGCTAAGTCACTACAAAATTATTTAATCTTTTTCTTATCATCAACTTTCTAACCACATGCACCTTATTTTGAACTTCACTTAATCCTTCTGCACTGCCCTTATAATGCAAAATGACAGCAAAAAAATCCCACCTTGAGCAATCCTCTGTGATTAGATTAGAAGGAAGTGAACAGCATATATTCACATTTTGATAATTTCTTGAATAGTCTCCTCTGATGACCTGGAAGGTCATAGAGTGGGCTTTCACATCTTTAGAATGAAGGGTTTGGTAAGATCTGAACAGCCTGGCTTCCTTGTTAATCAGGTTAACAGGTTTTACTCCTCAGTTATCGGATCAGCCTTTGACCTTGTTGTACCACTGGCTTACACATCCATAATTCAACAAATAGCCTTAACAGTATGACTGGGGAGCGGACCAGGACTTTCTACAGGAAGATGTATCTCTATAAGGTCTAGCAAATCAAAAGAGCAAACAAGAGTGTATCACAGTGTTTGCTGATAAAGCCATGACCCCACTGCAGTGATGTCCATTGGCCAGTCATTTACAGCAAGTAGCTTTTGAAATACTATGTTGTTGCTCTAATTATTTCTCTGAGCAATAAACTTTAATTTCTTAAATTCAGGAAAGCTCCAGAGGTTTTCTGTAATGAAATTCTAGTGTAAAATGTAAGAATTTGTTCTGAATGTCACTCAAAATCTTTCGTTAAAAACAGGAATAGTATCTTGGCTTTATGGTTAAAGGAATGTACTTACCCTTAAAATCTAATAAAGAATATTTTTTCTATTATTTATGTGGATGGATATTTTATACAATGTCTCAGTATGAATTAATCAATATCGCTGTCTCTTGCAAATAACCCGAGGGCCCATTTTTCTTTTAACGCATTAAAACCTTAACAAAATGCATTAATGCATTCCACTATTAACCGGAGACACTTGCTGGTAGGTAGCCAGATCCTGAGTTTTTTCCTGAGACATCGCTGATGAAATGATCAGAATTGATTATAAACCAAGAGCTATGTGTGAAGGAGGAACTTGGGACAAAAGTAGGGTGCCAGCCTCAAGCTGAAACTTCCTGCCTAAGAATTTACGGATTCAGGAATCCATGATTTTGGAGAGGGTTGGAGAAGTCTAAGTAGGTCAGATTCTACAGTTCAAGGTACATGATGGTTTCCTGACCCTCTCCACTTCTGATGAATCTCTTCTCTATGGGCATGTCCTGAAGAGCGGCTACTAGTCAGGAAGGTCCAACAGAAAAGCTGTTGGTACCCAAGCTGCTGTGGAAGCCACTCCACCTTAGTCACCCATTTCAAGTGATTTTGTTTCTGATGTCAAGATGGTGGGGAATGGCAGCTGAAACAAGTTCTGTTACTTTCCATCCGAAATGCACGTAGGACTGCCCTTAATGCAACACCTGTGTTGTCCTCCCATTACTAACTCCATGCAACTGAAAACTTTAAGACCAACACATAAAATGGCAGAAAACCAGTGCTGTCAAATTTGAAGTTAGTTTGAACATTTGCAAAATTTCTCTTTCAAAATCTAAGGCTCCTGTCTGCTGGTTAGTTCTCCATATATCCTTCTATTTAATATTTCATTCATCATACCGGACATTTTTCCACACCAGCTTGGGTATCTTTTGCATTGTACAGCTGGTTACAAGAAGTTAGCATTCAGCCCAGCTGCAGAATGGCATGTGAGAAAGATTTTCCAACACACTGAGTAAATGATTGATGCTGGCAGATGTCCAACACTCCATGCCGGAATTGTATCACATTAGAATGATGATTAGTGTTCTGATTAAGATTTATTACCTTTATTCTACCTTATTAATTATTGTTTCTAAGTAATTTCCTTCAGGACATAATAATTAGCATACGTTCACATAGGCACTTAGAAGTAACTGAAGGAAATTGTATAAAAATCACTTTTGATGGCACTTCAAAGTGCCACTGGCATTTGAGAGGTACTTAACAATCCATGAACACTGTTGCATGACATCTGGCAAAGATGGGTTACATGCCATAGAGCTCAGTTGGCTCAGCATTAATTAGCACCATTAGAAGGGATGTTACTCACAGGTACCCACTCACCTCTTCACAGTACTTCAGGTCAACTGATTTGCCATCACTGCGAACACAGTCGAGCATCCGTGTTTTGATACCATTACCACAGACAGCCTTCTCACTGAGCTGACATGTGCTCCAGTCTGGAGGCAAGAAATTCATTAGTGTAGAAGACATGTTAGATAAAACTTATAATGATCCATCTCCCACCTAATTCTAATTTTGATGGCCTAAAATAGTCCTCTTAAGAAACTTTTATACATGCAAAAAAGCTCATGGAAGCCAGCTGCTACACATTTTTGGAAACAACCACTGTTACTGCAAATAGTCAGTGCCCGATGCCTTCCTGAAACGTTCATATTTAGTTTCATCTGCACAGATTTTAAGCAAATCACAAAATTATCATAGAAATAAATTTCCTGGGGTTATAGCACGCACACTACACCCAAGTTGCAAAGTCTCAAATAACATTTTTTCTGGATAGAATACCCTAAATTAGTTTTCAGTACAAGCTCCCTTCAGATAAGAACAGAAAGCAGAAAAATCTTCCTGTAAGGTGAAAGGAACACAGTCCCAAACCGTCACTGGATCACAGCACCACAAATACCTGTAACATTGTAGTCATAGTGGTAGCAGTTTTTGTTCAAAGTGCAGACTTCTGTATCAGTGGCAGCAGGACAAGACTTCCCATCATATGGTTGTCTCAGAGATTCAGCTGACCTTTCACGGATGCTACTTCCATTGCATGGCTTGAAAGGGAGATTGGAAACAGCTTTGATATTTCGGCATCTTGATGCCTTTTCATGCAACATTATAACAACCTTTCAAGTAACCTCTTCACAGAACGCAAATTTAAAATAGCAGGCTCGTGCTGTTGCCTCAGAGAAACCATTTCCGTATTATTTCAAAGAACTTAGTCTGCTCTTTCACCCAAGATGAAATATCCTTTAACTTGGCAAAAACTTGGTACTTTCCTGACTAGTTTATATTTCAGTCCTAGCACTTTGAAAACATTTCATTCATTAACTGGATTCAGATGCTCACTTCCCAAATGCCATACTGTAGTGCACCAGAGCCCAAATACTGTGAGGTCCTGAAATATCTTTTTATCATTGGTTTGGAGTTTTGTTGTCGTTGTTGTCATTGTTTTTTTTTTTTTTTTTTAATCTTTTTGAAATTGCTGTCAGAAAGGAAATATAAGACCCCAAATTACCTTTCTATGCTCAGTCTTGATCTACACTTTCCTCTTTGCAAGTGAGAGATCATTTTTAATGCAGTGACTGCACTGCTATGGAAAGGCTCACAGCTACACTCAAAGATGGACTCACAAGCCACTGCCAAAGCTATTCCACCACAGAGAACCAATCCCTCAGTAAAGAATGACCACTGGTGACACTATATTTTTTGGTTTGGAACAATTTCACTTAATGGATAATACTGGGTACTTTATTTGTAACAACTACCAATGATCCTAAAGATAATAGCAAATATAGATATTTACATATAAAATCACTGCTCAATCCAGCATCTTTGCATGATACGTCATGCATATAGTTCTAAAATATCCTCCTAAAATGATAAACATTACGTGTCAGTATACTTCTTACCAAAGAACACCGAGACCATGGTCCCCATTCAGATATAACACAGTCTTCAGGACATGGTAATGTGCATTTCCTAGCACCAAGTGGCATCTCTTCAGGATCACACAGATAGTCCTCTACAGTGTCAGAAGGACCATCCACAGTGTTTAACATACACCTGGAAAAAAGAACTGCACATAAACTGCATCTGCCATGGATTTTGTACAGTAGTATTCTGAAGCATTTTAACATTTTGTCAGCATGCAACTGAAGTAACACAACCAAGTATTGATCTATGAATATCCAAGAAAAATCCAAGAGCCAAAAAAAGTCCTCACTTTTACAGGTGACAGCCATATAATGAAATGCACAGGATTTATACATTCCCTATCAGTAATTTTCTGAGAGTTTCTGGGCAGGTGATTTATTATTACCAGTAAGCCAGAATAATGCAAATCAGCTATAGTTTAGACATATTTTGTGCATGCTTCAACTGATTATTTTAAGTGTAGAAATAAAAGAACTTTTAAAATTTTGTATTCTTAGTATTAATACCTAATTTACACAGATGCTTTTCTATGACCATTTTATTAAATTAGCAGCTGGAGGCCCAGTAAAGATGAGAAATTACTATGTTCATTTTTGCAGAGCTGAAGACAGTCTTCATTCCACAGTATTTCCAGTTCTGTGGAGTCTGTTGCTTAACTTATCCCTTCCACCTGTCAGCGGAAGACTAAGTAGTATATTACTAGGATCATTCAAATTAAGAGGCTTGAGTTTGTTTTCCAGAACTGCAAGAGCAAAGCTGATACAGAATCACAGAATCACAGAATTGCCTAGATTGGAAAAGACCTGTAAGATCACCTAGTCCAATCACTAACCTAACACTGACAAGTCCCTCACTAAACCACGTCCCTAAGCCCTACATCTACACAACTTTTAAAAACCTACAGTGATGGGGACTCCACCACTGCCCTGGGCAGCCCGTTCCAATGCCTAATGACCTCTTCATTAAAGAAATTCTTCCTAATAACTAAGCTAAACTTCCCTTGGCATAACCTGAAACCATTTCCTCTTGATCTATCATTTATTACGTGGTTGAACAGACCAACCCCCACCTCTCTACAACCTCCTTTCAGGTAGTTGTAGAGAGCAACGAGGTCTCTCCTCACGCCGTCCTACCCACCCCCACTCCCCCCAGCCGTTCCTCACAGGACTTGTGCTCCAGACCCAACACCAGCTCCCTTGCCCTTCTCTGGACATGCTCCAGCACCTCAATGTCTTTCTTGCGGGGAGGGGCCCAAAACTGAGAACAGTACTCAAGATGTGGCCTCATCAGTGCCAAGCACAGGGGTAAAATCACTTCCCTGGTCCTACTGGCTACACTATTCCTGATACAGGCCAGGATGCCATTGGCCTTCTTGGCCTCCCAGGCACACTGCTGGCTCATGTTTAGATGGCTATCAATCAATCAATACCCACAAGTCCCGCTCTGTGGAGCAGCTTTCCAGCCAATCATCCCCAAGCCTGTAGCATTGCCAGGGATTTTTGTGGCCAAAGTGCAGAACCTGGCATTTCGCCTTATTGAAACTCATACAATTTGTCTTGGCCCATCAATCTAGTCTGTCTAGATCCCTCTGCAGAGCCTCCCTACCCTCAAACAGATCAACACTCCAACCCAGCTTGGTGTTGTCTGCAAACTTACTGAGGGTGCACTCAATCCCCTCGTCCAGATCATTGATAAAGATGTTAAACAGGACTGGCCCCAGTACTGAGCCCTGGGGAACACCATCTGTGACCATCCGCCAACCAGATTTAACTCCATTTCCACCACACTCTGGGCCTGGCCTTCCAGCCAGTTTTTACCCATTTCTAACTGCTTGTGGCAGGAAGAAGATAACATTTAACAGTTTACTTCATACAACTCCCATTTTGTTCCTTCAAACTGAATTCATATTATGCTTTATTATTCAAATTTATAATCTCAAATTGTGTTTGGCTTTGCAGTCGGCCATTAAAAAAATTAAAACACCCTCTCATCCCCAGCAAACAAAAAACTCAAAAAAAGCATACCTATTATTCCCAAGTGTATACATACTTAGAAGATTGGTGTGGGTTTCTTTTTTTTTTTTTAATGATATTCTCATCTAGAAAGAGGACCATTTTACCTTTCAGAAAAGCACTGAAATCATACATTGCAGTGTTTGAAGTAGTACAAGAAATACAATATATATTAGTTTATAAACTAGGAATCAAGGTCTATATCCATAATCAGTAGACAGAGCCATACTGCACTTACTGCAGCTATTCTGATTTACATCAGCCAGGGTTCTGGTCCAGTATACTATGGCTGGACTTACCACTGTACCTTACACAGAGTTACATCATTACACAGCCATGACTGAAAGCTCTCTAGAGTGAAGGAGGAGCAATACTGTTTTACCTGACTTTCCTTGTCTGAACACCTTCTCCACAGTTCTCTTTTAAGTCGACACTGGTCACCTTGCAGACACTCCAGGGCTCAGTAACCCACACGTACTGGCTGCAGTCACTGTGGCAGGGGACTACCTCATAGACCTGGAATCCACATCAAGCATCAGTTTTGTTGCACACAAGTAAGATAAACACATGACAGTGATCATGCAAAAAAAGGTTAATGATCTTTTTGATAAGAGTAACATGTAAACTTGCTGATTTAGAGACTGTAGTAATAATACAGACAAAATGAATGATAGAAAACCATAGTAATAACAAAAAATCAGAAGCTAAGACACCGAATGACAGATTCTCTGGTTATCTCTGCCACTAAGCCCAGACTGTCATTTCCACCAATAACATCCACAAAACTAACATAAAATCTGTAACTGGGCTAGCTCATGAGTATTCCTTCTAGAAAAATGCTGCTAAAAGTCTGCTAAAACTTTACTTCTATCCCTCACATCTCTCTTCAACTACTTCATCCCACTTTTACAAGTTGTTGGGTTTCTGTATTTCTATAGAGAGGGGAGCTCAAGGTAAATTATATCAATATATGCTGGTTCATTTTATTTTTCATTGTGGATACTTAAAATCACTCTAATATATTCGTGTCCCAACGTTAGTATCTTTTATAGCACCTTACACAGTGTTCCATATATTTTCTCAAACGTACTTTACAAAAAAGGACAGACAACATAAACACTGGAGCACAATCAGGAAGAACATGTTAAGGTTATTTCTCTATTTTAGAAACCCTTACCTGAGCCTGAAGAAAGTATTTTCATGAACCCAAAAGAAAAAACAAAAATAAAAAGAAAGAATTATTAGAGTGAAGCATAGTTATTTAAATGGCATTCATTTAGCTGTTATTACAAACAATATTCTATGAATTCTGTCAAGGCAAAGGCATCCACTTTTTCCTCTTGCATCCCCCTTGCTGTCATGAGACATTTTTGCAAGAAGTTTGCCCTTGGAAGAAAATAAAGTTTATAAATTACAACTAGTGGGAAGTGACTGTAAATTAGCTAGTCTATTTCTCAGTCCCTAACACATGATAAAACTGTTTTTCTGTTTTGCCTGTAATGAGCATCAACTCTTCACACAGCAGGGAATCCAATTTCTTTATGACGAGAAAATCCTTAGTGGTTTTGGAGAGGATACTGGACTTCTCTATTAATTGAAATTGTTTTGGCAGCATTAAGTGCAATAGATTCAGGGGAATAAAAAGCACTGGCAGTTCTCATCCTTCCAAAGTTCTAAATCGTTCACTGAGTATCTTAATTATGCACAAATTACTTAAAACCCATTGCCTCAAAATTACCTTATACCAGTTAACTTCATATATCATTCTGGGTATCAAGTCAGCACAACTAATATTTCTAGACAATCCAAGACATTGTCTTTAACAACTCATTGATTTATTTACAGCAACACTGCTTGGGTAGAAGAAAAGGCTGACGGTTTGACAGTTTATGAGTTAACCTTCAACAAATTACCTCCAATCACAAAAAAATAATTACTTGAACAATGAATACGTAGAGTATGATATAGACTGATCAGCCCATGCACAACATGACCAGCATAGTCGTGCCAGCATATTTGGGCCATCTTTGAACTACATAAGCATTAACTCAGGTGTAAAGATGGGTGGTGTAAATACATGTTAGGGAAGATACTGGACTCAGTGCACAATCTGCAGTCATGTGGGAAGTGGCACTTTATTTATTCTTGTCCAGGATTTCCAAAATGAGAGTAACAAAGCCTTAATTTAGGGAAACATCTCTATATGTCTCATCCTGGTTGGCATACGAATACTAAGTCCTGTATATTCAACAGCATTTCTAGTAACATAAAAACTGGATATCTTGTCAGAAAGCCAAAGGAGAACTCTATATGGCATTGCATGTGTTAAGTGGTGTTCTCCTGATGCTACTGCTATTTTTGTAACCATGACTGCAGGCCATGGTGGTTGGATGTTGTAAGGATAGCATACCAACCTGACTGGATAATGGCGTAAATAATGCCTGTAGTCAGTGAAGAGAGGGGTGTTCTTATTTTCCTTGACAGTGCAGATTAGCCTCTTCATTTGAAAACCTCTGAAGGCCACTGACATGATTTTATAATTAACCTGACTCTATTATTGTTGGAATTGTGAAGACTTTTAGCCTAGTGAAGTGAGTACTGACATCTAGCATTCACTGTGCTCAATCACCATACATGTCAGCCCTGAGAAACATTGAGCAACTCACTCTTAAAACCTAACAGATGTCTTAAGCACTGTTTCAATGTTTCACTAGCCTTACCATTCAAAAGTTTTCCCAAGGCTTAACCCAAATCTGTTTGCAGCAGTCTAAGCCTACTGCTTTTTATCCTATCCAAGATGGCCATGGAAAATGGCTTATTTCCTCCTTCTTTGCAACAGCCTTTTATGTACATGCTAGCAGACTGCCAGCATCCTCCCTCGAATCTTCTCTTCCACGGGCTAGACAACACATCGAAGCCTTTCCTCAGAGTTTATGATTTGTAGATGTCAGCTTACAGCATAGCCCCTCTGTACATCATCTTCCACATACTTGTGGACACAAAGGCACAGTCTAACCATGATGCTTTGACTGTATACAAATAAACATGTTACATATATAAGTACTGAATACAAAAATAAATCAGATTACATTTAATAACTGAAATAAATATTCTTAAGAGTCAGTAGTTTTCCAGCTGAATGAATGCTGGATCACATTTAGATTAAATAATTAACTCAAAATTAGAATGCAGGTGTATTCCCTGCGTGTTTCTGAATTGACAGTGAAAGTATTTAAAATTGAAAGATACAGCTTCTATATTCGTCAACATTCCTATCTTACCTGTAGAGCTTCCTTATCATTAAAGTACTATATTTCAATTTTATTTTTACAATAATTACATTTTGAATCACCTATTACTATTTGGCAAGCACCATGTAACATTGCAACATGTTCGAGTCGAAATACCAGTAGAGGGCAATAGTGTTGCATGTAAGTGTCTAACAGACCTCTGGCAAAATCACCTTCGATGCAAAAAAATACAAGCCTATTATGTAGTACATGAATATTAAAGAAGGAAAAAGACTTCTGTATAGACTATAATTTTCTCCTATTGAAACACATTCCTCCTAATTTGAAGCCTATTTACATGCTGACCTAAATCCAGCAACCCTTATTTTAGTTTGTATTTTGTTAAAACAGATCACCACCTTAGTTTATTAGCTGCAGTTTAACAGTTATTATTTTCTAAATTAGAACTAATTACAGTCCCTAAAGTAGAAAATTAAATCAACAACCCATTTCACTCTGTACTAGCAAAATGTCAATAGGATAATATTAAGTACACGCATTTTTATTCAAATGTAAATTGACAGCACTTCTTTTTTTTCAATCTTTGAATATTTACAGAGAAGACTGTGTGGCTGTTTAACATGGCTCTGCAGACTAAATTAAATTCAACAGTAATATGAACATAAATCAACTCTGAAGAGTGTAAGTTAATTGACAAGGAAGGTTTTTCTTTCTATAATTCTCCAAGCAAGCAAACAATCTTCAGGAGTTTAACATGAACTAGTGCTAAACTTGGTCCTAAAGACTAAATGCTCACTGGTGGTCAAAGCAGTGTGCTCTTGGATCACATTTTCTGGCTTGGTTTCACCTGAAGAAGATCCAGACTGTGCAGCCACACTGCTCCACACTGGAAAATAAAGTGTGATTAGTGGGACAACTGGGAGACTGATCTCAGAAGTGCAGTCCTGACTGCAACTGCATGCCAGGACAAGTGTATCCAGAAGTTCAAGATCCAACCTGACTAAAATCCACTAAGGGACACTGGGATGATACTTGGTGAGTGTTTCAGAACTTTTAATTTGCTTCCTGATCTAAGATGGTTGGGGAAATGACACTAAGGATCTTACCAGTTTGAGCATCTTTAATGAGACATTTTACCCACTGTAAGAGAAGTTCTTCAGAAACATGGTCTTCACATCTGCATGCAAGAATGTTTTATTGTCTCCGATCTGCAGTGCTAAGTTCTTGCAGGTAAGGAAATAATGAAGAAAATCCTATACTAACTGAGGAAATCTAAACTAACACATATTCCTCCTTCTACCTGCATCTGCTTCTTATGTTGTACAGTTTTTCTAAATCCAGAAACAATACAGCTAAAAAGGTAATCTGAAGTATGGAAAAAGCTATATCAATAATGTAAATATAAACAAAATTACCTGATTGACATGATCTAGCTTTGGACAGGGTCTTCCACCATTGTAGGGTTTTTCACGGAGCCATTTAGAGCGAACCTTCACCCCACTTCCACAGGATTTACTACAGCGAGACCAGTTGGACCACTCACTGAGTTTACAGTCTGAAGGACATGGAATAATACAGGCTTCCTCAATATAACCTGTGTGAATGGAAAAGAATGTGAAATCTCTTCAGCATGTCACTCTGCCACTTCTCCCTGAAGCCCTCATCTACTTCATTTAGATTGTCTAAAGTTTGACTTGACAGGATTGTGTGAATAGAGAGATTTTTTCATTATTAGGGCTAAATTAAATTCCACAGAAAATTGACACATAGAGCTGGAGACTGTGTTAGAGTGGCAGCTGAGCATCCTCACTGCTATCTGATTAAGGTTCACACTCACCAGATTTTAGCATTCAAACTTTCTGACAGCTACAGTGTAATTGACACTAATCATCTCTTGGTTGCATTGTCCTTACACAGTAAAAACAATATGGATTTTTTTTAGGTTTAATTAAAGGTTTAATTAAATTCTCCTCCATAACTGTATCAAGTAATTCAATTGTCATTATACATCAAAAATCCAACTGAATCAAAAGATATGTATCTTACCAGCCTGGAGCGAGGGAACTTAACACTTCGTGACCTTTCTAAGGCTAGAAAGAGAGTGGCCTGCCACATTAATGATCTGCCGATTAACAACCATCTGCCCCCAGTAGCACACTGAATAATTGCACTGAATGGAAAAGCAGATGTTTGGTTTGGATAAGTCATCAGTCCTGAGAGGTTGGAGAGGGGTATGACATGGTCTGCAGGGAGTAACATGAGGCCTCAATTCACTGAATAAGTGGAAACGTCTTTCTTTCCAAGGCAACATATGCCATAGTTCTACAACATGTGTCATTTATGCTAATATTTCCAGCAGAAGCTATAAAACCTCTAACAAAAAGCTGGCCTTGACTGCATTTTTACTACAAGCACACCCTAAACTGCTCTTCCCTTTTCTGTGTCACATCTGCAACGTATTTACTCTTGGCAAATGTTTACTTTAAAGAAACCTCAGTGCATTTAAAAGTGAATTAAAGTATTTGATGACCAAAGTTGCAAAATCAACACATACTTGTGTAAGATCATTCTCAAATGACTGGCACAGTTTGCTAGGCATGGTTTCAAGTGTTTCTCACATATTTTGAATGTTTTTTTACTGTTAAAGAAATCACTGTCATTTTCATCAGCGCTGATGTTGGCAGCTTTATTTTTAACCTATAGTACTAAGTAAAGTTATTCTGTCTCTCCTAAAAGCAACCATTACCAAACAATCAGAAGCTGTGTAAAGGATCAGAACACATAAAATATTCCAATTCTATATACCTATTAGTAGTTGCTTTCATTAATTTGTTTTAGACATAAAGAACAGAAGGGTTGGGTTTTTTTAAACATACAGTAACACTGAGAATATTTTATGGTAGAATTGAGGTGAATTTGAGATCAATGAATCGATCGACCGATCTATCTACTGATCCAAATCCTTCCTCTGTTTGCAAGTGTTAAATAGTTTAAAAAATATACTGAGTACATCCTGAATTTTAGCACTGCGGAACTACTGTTCACCATATCTATCTTCATTAACATGGCTAGAATGTTATTAGCTCGATTTACAAGCACGCTTATTAAATATCTCTTGCCATTTGATTGATCAGCTCATTGCTATTGTATGAAAGGTACACTATGTTAGACAAAATATATTTTTGAAGATCGTATCACTGTGTATCAGGGGTGGTGACATAGATTGCCCTGCAGTAGTAAATGCAAAATTGATTACATTTCACCTTACCTGACATTTCTGAGTGAGCCTAAGAAATCAGATGCACTGTATCTCAGAGCCTCATCCTGCTCTGAACTTTGACTGCATAAATATCACTCTCTATGTTCACCAGAAATGAGCTTTTAATAAGCTCTCTTAAGTGCTACACAGAACCATATCCTCCTATAATTGAAACTACTGAATGAAAATGGACAAGAACAAAGAAGTTACAAAAGAAACAATTTTCTCCAAGCAATAAAGTAAGTGTTAGTAATATTGTCTGATAGAATTGAGGATTTTACTGCTCTTTATGAATTTTCTTGGGATTCTGAAATGCTGCCTTTACTTTCAATACAACTTCTAAGTAATTTTCTGGGGATAAACTTTTCTACTATAACACGTTTATGCCATTTAGCATTTGTTAAATGTCTGCTTCTGTAATTAATGTCTGAAAGAAACAAATTCAAGTTGTTTTAAATGTATTGTACATACTTAAGTATGTAACTTTTACTGGTACAGGCTGCTTCAGGAAGATTTTATTTTAAGGACTTCCATAAACCCCTGAGCTATTTTAAATTTGCCTTAATTAATCTCAAAGGGATCTTCCCAATCTGCCCCAGTCATAGAAAAAGGTCTTCTCCAAGATATCACAATATTTTGGGACTTGGATAACTATAGCATGGGCACACTTCATAGCCTACCAAAAGAAGTCTCTGTGGAGTATAATAAACTAAAATGATCGACAAATTAGAACCTATTTTTATTTTACTTCCCTTCAGCTCATCCAAGTGAGGTCAGTAAAGATTTTTTTGAGATACTGAGAATGTTAGCCAAGAAGTTTAACAAGATTTGTAGAATCTTGCAGACAGATACAGTATCAAATACATTATACTATACAGAAGTCCCAGGTAACATTTTAATTATGCTGAGCTGTATTTCAAGTGATACCATAAAATATCAAATGAAATCATGCCACTACAGCAACCTTTTTTCACACTATCTATCAAATATATACATTGAAGTTGGCCACGAAAACTGCTTTGGTATAGAATGCAATAAAGCCAAACAGCATCGTATTACAGGTATAGTGTCAGTATGTGTTATAACATGGAAAATTACAAGCTTGCTTAACATGGAAAACTACAAGCTTGCTTGTATCTTAACACATTTTGGAGAGATGCAGTGGGGCGGCTGACATTTCCCACCCACTTTATAATGAAAAAAAAACTGAAGTGCAATCCTATACTGAGTCCTTAATCCTATAAGCTTCATGGAATAGCTTGCGCTCACCACGTAGCTCTTTCTTCTGCCATCTCTATGATATCTGGCTCTATGATGCTCCCTCCTTCCTATTTCCTCAGAAAAGCTGGCATCAAGACCCAAACTCCACATGTGAAAATTAACCAGCTGAACTAGAATGGAAGAGACAGATGAAGAGAACAAGAATGGAATCAGTCACTGAAGGCATAAAAAGAATCTCTGCAAGGTAGGAAGACTTGGAGCAACTGGAAATGTGGAACATTTTTGGAAAGCAAAGAGAAAAACACTATTATGTGAGATGCAAGACAAACAAAAAAACTCCTAACTGCTATACTAAGAATAATGGATGAAAAACAGGTCAAGGACATGAACCGAATAAAGAGGTACAGAAAGAAGTTTCACATCTTTCAAGCCTTCTCTGAACGGGGAGGGGGGGGAAGAGTGAAGTTACTTTTCATGGTAAAGACTCTGAAGTCAAAACAACAGAAGAGACACAAGATAAAATGGACACTGAGGGTAAGAAAGACAAGGAGAGGGAAGAGGAAAATTACTAGCTCAGAACAGTCAACAGCATTGTAAAGACATACTGCATAGGGATTGAAAACAAAGGGGAGAAAGGAAATAAACATCCTGCCAAAAGTAATATCCTGGTGAAGCACAAACAGAATGCAATGCCCTCAAGAGCCTACTCTCTTATCTCCTGACCAGACAGTGAAATGTAATGAAGAATGTTCCCACAAATAAAAACAGAGGGCAAAGGGAAGAAATAAAAATACTATGGCCTCTGATTTACATTCTGTAGGTAATGAACATGTAGAATGAAAATGACCATGTAATATCTGACATTAAAAAGTTTTTGGCATATCCATACCTCGGCATCTTTTCCTCTCAGGCGCCTCACTACTTTGCTCAACACACTATTTAGCATTTATCTGTGCCACTAGACTCCCTTAGAACCCAGGCAGAAGCAGACTTCAAACTGTTTGCAAGTATTTCTCTAGCCAAGAAAGACGACTGAATTTATTAAAAAAATCACTTGTTGCAAATTACTTGTTCCATTCCATTTACTACCTATCTAATCGTACTTCTCAGAGATAGCTTCTCTGAAGCATGTCATCACTCCAGATATCTTTCTGTGTGTATGATATCAACATATCTTTTAGGTTGATTAAGTAAGATAATCTGCAGAAGTTCACAGCAGTTGAACCTAAAATCCAAGTTCGGAACTTTGAAAACTTTATACTCTTTTTAAAAATTCTTTTTGTTAAATTACAAGTGCTTGCATTTGCAAACTTTGTCCACAATGTAAAAATTTTAGCAAGTGAGAAGAGAGTATATTGTGAAACAGAAAAAATACATAGAAAACACAGAAACCAGAAATACTACATCCAAAGGGACTGGTGATGTAGATTCACAGTTTCTGAGTCTCTGAATGAGACATTTTTCAATTTTCAGTCTTGTTTCCGCTCTGATTTAATCATTCTTGAAAGGGTGCCCTTGTGCTAGACCTTGTGAAATCTTAGTAAAGAAACAGTCCTCTAATCTGTGGGTGTTTGTATGGTAGAATAACACAAAATTATATCACATAGGTTGTGTAAAACAGTTGCAGCAAATGGCATGCTAGAGCCTTGAGGTTTAAAGAACAAGCAAGAAATTACCAAGGTAGAAATACAATACATGCAGAGAGAAGGAACGAATGAGAGCTGTGAGCAACTATGAAGCAAAGCTGAGGAAAAGAGTGTGAAGCTGAGGGAGGGACAATGAAATAGAAGACCAACATTTTAAAGGCTGAAAATACGTTCTCTGGACATCAGCAATTCATGCTTGCCTGCTGTTTCTCCTCCTGACTGAAGTCTCTGATACTTCCTGCAGGCCTTCCTTCTCCCCACAACATCTGAGGGATACTGGAGAGATGAGACCTGGGGATACTGTGCCACAGAGGATTGGCCCTGCATGGTCCAGAAGGGTAGTGGAAAGAGATGCCCATCCCTTAAGATTTGTCATTGAAGTTTCTCAGTCATTTCAGCCCTATCAGCTGAACTTCACAACTCTGTGAAATGGGCAGTTGGCTGGTATGAGGGAGAACATGGCTATTC